CTTGCTGTCCATTTCTTGTGTCTCCTGTCCCTTTCATTCCCATTCTTCCAGGGTTCGAATCCCGTTCATGTCCTGAAGGTCAGGACAATTCAGGATTCCAAGAAAAAAGACCTATGGAAAAATCAGTTCTACTTCAGTATGCTAACAATGAATAATACCAAACAAAACTAGGAGAATGATTTAATCTTGTTAAGAAGATGTCTCAGTCAGTAGTGTGCTTGCTTTGAAAGCACCTGAGTTCTAGCCTCAGAACGCATCAAGAAGGAACTAATTAAATTATGGTTTACTTATATAGTCTAAAAGTATAGTCATTTATAGAATGAGTATTGTAGGAGGTCTTTGGGCTCACAGATAAGCACTAGGGAACCCAAAATGTTAAACACACAGGGGTGTTCCTTCAGAGGAAAGCATGTACAGTCTGTTATTGCCCAGAAGGCTGGGAGAAGAGGTGGTGACCACCTGGTGATCTGTGTACTCTCTGTGTGGTCCGAGACCACACTGGACCCTCCCACAGACCTCTACCATACACAAGCTTGTTATTCTCGGTGAGTCTATAGAACCCGTCTTTATGGAAGGTGGCACATGCCCTTTGCAAAGAGTTTTTATTCCTCCAGGAGATTTATATCTGCTTTATTATGCATGCAGGTTTGAATTTATTATCACCAGGAATCTTTTCATCAAATTGTTCTGTGGTGTGGATTCTAATTGGTCTTAATAATAAACCCGGAGTCAGATTGTGGTGATATCTTGTTTGTACAAATAAAGCTTGCCTGAAGATCAGAGGGCAGAGCTAGCTAGCCACTAGCTAACCATGGAGTCTGGAGGTCAGTACAGACAGTCAGGAAGTGAAATGACTGGCAGGAGAGAGGAATGGATAAGGTGGGAGGAGACAGGAACTGAGTCTCTTTTTACCTGGGAAGCTCAGTAGCTAAGATGGCTGTGGTTTGCTCCTTCATCTCTCTGATCTCTCAGCATTTTCCTCTATATCTGATTCTGGGCTTTTATTATTAAGACCTATTAGAATGTATGCTATATCAGATATTATGGGTAAAAGCTGAAAGGTCAAAGAACAACAACCAGCGAAAGCTCTGAGCTCCTCCCTCTCTGCCCAGCCATATCCCATCCTGTCTCCACCTCCCTAATGCTGGGATTAAAGGTGTGAGCCACCACCTCCTGGCTCTGTTTCTCTTTTAAACTGGATTTATCTCATGTAGTTCAGGGTGGCTTTGAACTCACAGAGATTCATCTGCTTCGGCCTACCAAGTGCTGGGATTAAAAGCCACAGTGCCTGGCCTTTATGGCTAACTAGTGGCTTAGCTCTGCACTCTGATCTTCGGGAAAGCTTTATTTGTTATAGCACTTAAATATGCCTAAAAACATAACTAAAAATATGCCTAAAAAAACTAAACTACTTGGGCTGGGCGGTGGTGGCGCAAGCCTTTAATCCCAGCACTTGAGAGGCAGAGGCAGGCCGATCTCTGTGAGTTCGAGACCAGCCTGGTCTATAGAGCGAGTTCCAGGACAGGCTCCAAAGCTACAGAGAAACCCTGTCTTGAAAAACAAAAACAAACAAATTAAACTACTGGGGTCAGACTCCCAAAGTTTGATCCAACACTGGCTACTTAGGTTGAGCAGAGGGCCTTTTTGCCCCCTGTGGATTGTTACTCTGCTGACTACGGTGGTCACAGAGCCCCCTGCAGAGTATCATGTGTGCTGGTGTGGAAAGCTCTTCAAGCAATATTTCCCAAGATTGGGCTCGAAAGATGGCTCAGAAGCTAAGAACACCGGCTGCTTTTCCAGAGGACCCAGGTTCAATTCCTAGTACCCACACAACAGCTCGCAACCATCTGTAACTCCACTTCCAGGGGATTTGCCATCCTCTTCTGGCCTCCGAGGGCACCGGGCATGCAAGTGGTATGCAGACATACACAGAAATGGCAGACACAACACCCTTACACATACAATTAAAACCAAACATCCTCAGAACTATAACGCTGAGACAGAATGGAGCATGGTCGTTTACAGACAGCCTAGGTCGGTACGTCAGTACTGTAATATACTGTTATATCAATTAATAGCAGTAATATACTGCTAGAGGCAGTATATTAACCAGTGTTGCCTTGACCTCTCTTTATTTCATTTTATCATCTGTAAAATGATTGCATCATAGATGCATATTTTATGAGGAACTTTTAAGAAAAAAATAACACAAAGCTAAGTAGAAAACTGGCCTGTGCAGGCTTTGTCACATACAGAAGTCTTTCGAACCTTCTGGCACACTTGAAAGAGGAAGAATGAAGTCGCCGAAACACCTCTGTAAGGCTGTGCCCTGGAGTTCTGACTTTCCTATGGCAAGAGAATGTTTTCTAGAGAGAAAGCAGAAAGACTATACTCTAAAATGATCAGAAGGTTATTATTGGCTGTTGAGCGAATGTCGTCAGCATTCACAGTTGTTAGTGGAGACAGTCTCTTTTGTGGGGTGTTCTGCAATCCAGGGAAGACTGATGCTTCTCTGTGGGAGCTGTCACAGACATTTACAGTACAGATGTGTGTTTTATAAACACAGGAAGGCTGATAAATGCATTCTGTGTGATTTCACAAGAAGGATGTGATTATCCAATTGAAGTCAGTGACTTACCAAGAACAGTCTTGACAGTAGACTTCATCTTGATCAACTATAACTGAGAACAAAGTTCCCTCATAAATTTGTACTTTGATGGATTGGGGGAAATCAGACTGTTTGGCTTCAAGTCATGCAAATGTTGACGTTGACGTTTTTTCTCTACTACACATATGCTCTAGGGCTGACCCACAGCGATAGAAAAGTGTCCTGACACGCTGCTGGCTTGATCCACAGAGTAGGTGGGAGGAGTCTTTCCGGAAGCTTTTCCTACCTCGTCACCTAGCACTAGTGGTGGCCATTCCAGAAGGGTATCCTATTAAACCCAGCTAAGTGCACCCCACTTGGCTTCTTATTATGCTCTGACTCAGGGAAATTGCCATGGGAGATTTTCTTTTTCACAAGCAGCAGTCAACTAACTGATGTGAAATACCTTATTTTTCAAAGTCTATAAAACACAGGCTTGTGTGGAGATGTTGCTGGCATCTGCTCCAGGGAACTGTCCTGAGTTTGAAGACGAGGCTTCTCCATGGAGATGCTGTAATGGTTATCTGAAATGAAATAGAAAAAGCAAGTAGAGGAGTCTGGGGACATATAGGTGCTTGACAGGTGGATCTATAACATGTGACTGATAAATAGTAGTCTGCCATACTTGAAGAGACTAGGAACACCAGAAACTCTATTATAGACAGACAAACAAGGAAACATTTCATATTAGTGGGAAAAGCATGGAATTCACTGGTAAAGATACTAGGTATAAAATTACTTAGCTCACATGAGTTAGATTGTAATTCTCTCCCTACATATTTGAAGTAGTAGTCTATATATTTCAAAATATGATGGGAATCTGGGTGTTGATCCATGTATGCAATCTCTGCGCTCAGTGGCCGAGAGAGGTAGATCATGAGTTTGATGCCAGCCTGGCGTGCATTGTGAGTTCAAAGCCAGTCTGGGCCATGTAGAGGGATCTTGCCTCAACAACAACAAAACCATAATAATAAAAAGGAAAAGCAAGGGGGAACAATGCCAAGAAGAAACTATAAAGGAACCAGAGTAAAATTCAAGTAGAAAGGATTGTTCTTAAGGTAGGAAATGCTTTTCTAAAGAGGACATCAAGACTCATAAAATAAAAAAAAATTACAGGCTGTTCAGTTCAATCTATCTATTAATTATTAATGCATAATTAAATCAAAAGTAGAAAAACCGAAAATCTGGAGTTTACATGATTTATGACAAAGGTGTGGTGGTGTAATATATAAAACACCTTTGTAAATCAATAAGGCAAATACCCTTCCCCTCTTTCATCCTGGAACTCAAACCCAGGGCCTTGTACATATGAGGGAAGCACTCTACCAGTGAGCTGTATCCCCAGCTCAGTCTCCCTTTCAGTGGCTAAAGCAGTGAATTCCCTGGGGGTAATTCAGAAGTATATGTCCACAGTTTAAAAGCCAATGCATTTCTTACTTAAGAAATTGTGTCATACTATAGTAATCTATCTTGCAGAAATGGAGCTGGGTGTAGATTTTAAAACAAGGAGCTCAAATTGCTATGCTGAGTTTTAAAGTGGAAACACCCTAGACAGTTCCTCGACTGTCGTTCCAGGTTGGGCTCCCTTGCTTTGCTGCCATAAAGTAGTGACCCAAGGCATCTTGGGGACCAGAGGGTTTATTTCATCTTACAGGCGGCAGGCAGTCCATTCATCGAGGGAAGTCAGGACAAGAACTTGAGGCAGGAGTCCGAGGCAGGAACTGAAGCAGAGACCGTGGAAGAACACTGCTTACTGGCTGGCTTTCCCTGCTTAGTTCAGGCAGCTCTTACACTACCTACTCAGGACAACTTCCCAGGTGGCACCGCCCACACTGGGACAGTCCCGCCCACGCCAATCATTAATCAAGAAAATGCTCTGCAGACATGCCCACAAGACAATCTGATCTAGGCAATTCCTTAATTCAGGTTCCTTCTTCCCGCATGACTGGGTTTGTCCCTAGGACAGCTGAAGCTAACGAGGACAACTACAGTACAGTCAGTCGTGTGACGGGCTCAGGATTATCAGCTGGAAAGCGGTCTATCCATGTGAAAAAGTATTCTCAACCTATAACACTGACAAAGGAGGAACAGGCTACACAGCACGGGCCACACACATGGGTTTGTCCTCTGAGCTCAGAATAAGGCATTCTGTGTGAAATGCCTAAGGCTTTATGAAAATATATGCTCACTATATATAGGAAAACACATAAGCACGCTGTTAGGTCTTACAGAGTGATAGATAAGGTTATGGGTGATTTTCCTCATGATCATTCACTGAGGAAAAAGAAAGAGGCTGGTTTTTTTTGTTTTTTGTTTTTTTGTTTTTTTTTTTTTTTTTTAAATAAGGAAACGCCGAGCAGAGACTACATTGAAGTCTTGAACGAGCAAGCTCCTGGGAAAGCTCCAGGACGGACCCCAGGCAGGACCATCAGAAGCTGACGTTGATTTAGTTCCTTGAGCCCCTGAAGCGCTGTCGGGTATTACCTAGAATTGGAAGAGATGTCATTTAATCCGCTCCCGCCCCCACTGCAAGGACTAGAGGTGAGATTACAAACACCACCAGAGCATTACTTGTCCAACGAAGCTTCCTGTTTATCGAGAGGTGGAAACCCAGGGAGGCCTGCTCAGCTCGACGTCAAACTCCCGTGTTCTGTATTCCTTTAAATACTGCAGCAGCAACGGCAATTTGCCGTGTCCTAAGCTAAATTTCTTACAGAGCCTTTCTTTCTCTGCTTGTCGGTGCTCTCTGGAACCCAGCCGAGGGAAGGTAACACATGCCACCATGCGTGCTAGTTTATAATTAGAACGAATGGGAGCACGCCGAAGAAAAGGATCTGCTGGCAGGAAGGCATTTAGGAAAACCCTAGAAAAGGCAGCCGGGGGGAAGGAGGAGGAAAAGATCTATTTTGGAAAATGATCTAATGCCAAAGAAGAGACGAGATCTGGAAAGCGTGAGAGGCGGTGATTAGGCCCTTGGAATGTGGGTTTCGGGGAGTGTACGGAATGGTAGCTGCTGCTGGACTACCCGCTCTTTGAAGGGATGAGCGCTGAGGTATTAATAGACGCTAAAGCCACGGCGCCAGAGGCAGAAATACTCACGTGTGCCATGGAAACCGGTAAGCGTGTGAAATTCCACCCTCTACACTTAAGGCTGCACTCAAGCCTTCGACCCCAATTCAAGTTCCAGGGAGGGCAAAGGTCAAGGAGAGAAGAGCTGAAACTTGCCCTTTCTTCGGCCAACCCCAGCCTCTCCCAGGTTTCACTGGAACTCAGAGATCCGCCTGCCTCTGCCTCGTGAGTGTGAGCGATCCTCCTCTGCCTTTTTCAAGACGGATTTGTCCTCCCTCGGAATGAAAGAGTGGACGTCCAGCCTCCTCATCAAGGCCATTTGGAGGAAGTTCCGTGGTCAGGGGGTCATGCTATCCACTCCTGAGCCTCCCTTAGCTCCTAAGATTGCAATTAAGAACAACTAGACTTCCATAGACCTGCTGGGTGGGGACAAAGTGACCTCCTTGCCTGGTAGACAATGTGTCCGTGGAGCGCAGTGGGTCAGTCAATGCCAAACTGAGGTGGAGCCAGCTGGAGAGCAGCCCTCAGGCTCTGACCAAGAGAAACAAAACTAGGCTACAGGTTAACGTGACTGCTAAGGTCAGCTGTGGACACCAGAACACCAGGGCCAGAGCCAGTGTGTCAACCATCACCAGCCCATACATATCGCTGATCCAGGGCAAGGACAAGGTAGTCAAGCAGCCCAACAATATCCTGAGGGCACGTGGTCTCTCCCTAGATTGTCCGGTTTACAGATAGGCTGGGCAGCAAGGGAGAAGCTAGGAGAGTCAGTTCACTAAATGGAGGCACACAGGGATTGGTTGTCTTCCTGTCTTGGACAAGTTACTGAAACAGGCTGAAACACATTTCCCCATTTCGTCTAGTAGGTGGGACCTGCTAAGACCAATCTGCTTTAAGATAAATAAGGAAGTTCCATTCCTTAGTGTTTCTGAGTGTTGTGTGGGTACACTTACCACCCTCTTTTGCTTGTTTTTCCCTTGGTTTTGCCAACTTTCATGGTTACCGTGAGAGTAGTTTACTTTGACCATTTTCCTAGACTTCCGGTTAGAACTGAAGGAGGAGGCTCTAAGCATCACTGACCCTCACTCCCCTTTATCTATTGGTAAATAAATAACCTACCCCGAGCAGCAGCCATTTCTTTGCAGTCACTTACCGGGTACTGAGAGAGAGAAGATGGAAAAGACGGTTCCTTGACATCACGTGACTCACAGATGGAGAAGATGGTCCTTGACATCACGTGACTCACAGCGGTCCAGCCACTCTCCCATACAGACACAAAGATGTCTCACTCAGCATCTACGTGCCGCTTCTGAGCCTCAGGACATGATGGCAGTCATCTTCTGTGCTGTGGAGGATGTGATGCTCCTGCTGCTGACCAAGATCCTAGGATTGTAATATGTTATCCCATGGGTGGGTTTGGTTTGGTATGCACTTCTCTATTGGTTAATTCCAAGCGCTTCTTGGACATTTTAAAATTGCAGTGTCCCGACTCGCTGAACATAGCGGACAATGAGGACTACTGAGAACTCAAGAACAATGGCAATGGGTTTTTGATCCTCCTGCACGTACTGGCTTTGTGGGAGCCTAGGCAGTTTGGATGCTCACCTTACTAGATCTGGATTGAGGTGGGTGGTCCTCGGACTTCCCACAGGTCAGGGAACCCTGATTGCTCTTTGGGCTGATGAGGAGGGGGACTTGATCGGGGGAGGGGGACTTGATGGGGGAGGGGGAGGGAAATGGGAGGCAGTGGTGGGAAGGAGGCAGAAATCTTTAATAAATAAATAAATAAATAAATAAATTTAAATTAAAAAAAGAAACAACCAAGAAAAAAAAATAAAATTGCAGTGTTGCCGGGCGGTGGTGGTGCACGCCTTTAATCCCAGCACTCGGGAAGCAGAGACAGGCGGATCTCTGGGAGTTCGAGACCAGCCTGGTCTACAAAGCTTGTTCCAGGACAGGCTCCCAAAGCCGCAGAGAAACCCTGTCTCGAAAAACCAAAAAAAAAAAAAAAAAAGAGAGAGAGAGAGATAGTTCCAGGACAGGCTCTAAAACTACAGGGAAACCCTGTCTTGAAAAAACAAAATAAATAAATAAATAAAATTGTGGTGGGACATGGTGACGCGCAGGCAGACATGGTGCTGGAGAGGAGCTGAGAGCCCACATCCAGACCTGCAGGCCCAAGAAGGAGTCTGTGACACTGGCCACAGTACGAGCAGAGGAGGCTTCAAAGCTCACCCCACAGTGACACAAAAAGCCACACCTACTCAGAGAAGGCTACAGCTCCTAATAGTGCCACTTCCTGTGGGCCAAGCATTCAAACACGTGAGTCTAGGGGGGTCATTCCTGTTCAAACTGCCACCACCTCTGAGCCATCTCTCAGCCCCCAATTCTTCAATTTTAAGTTGAGATTTTAGCATCCTTTCTAAGAATTGCTTGCTAAATCCCAAATTGTGCATATTTACCCTCATGTTTTATTCTAATAGTAAAATAGTTTTAATTCTTAGCCTTGTGTCATGCATCCAGTTTGTGTTGATTTTTTGCATATGATATGGGGCAAAGGTCCACCTTCATTCTCTTTATTTTATTTATTTTTATTTTTGTTTTTTCAAGACAGGGTTCTCTGTGTAGCCCTGGCTGTCCTGAAACTCACGCTATAGACCAGGCTGGTCTCGAACTCACAGAGATCCGCCTGCCTCTGCCTCCCAAGTGCTCGGATTAAAGGCGTGCGCCATCACTGCCTGGCCCCACCTTTGTTCTTTTACAGTAAATATCCAGTTGTCTGAACACCATTTATTGAAGCACCATTTTTTCTCCCATTAAATCAGCTTGGTACTCTTTTTGAAAATCAATTGACCACAGAGGTTTGAGCTTACCCCTAGACTTTCAATTCTAGTATATTGATCTATACGGTTATCATTTGCCAATACCACACTGGTTTAATTTGTACGTTTTTGTGAATTTGAAATTAGGAAATATAAACCATCCAATGTTAGTTCTATTTCCCAAAATTGTTTTGGCTAACAGGACCCCTTACAATTTAAGTTTAATACTTTTTAGATTCTTCAGTGTACTAACCTTATAACTTGGGTTGGGACAATAGTTCAGTCAGTAAAGCGTTTGCCTTGCAAGCATGAGGGTCTAAACTGAGTCGCCAGTATCTGTGTGAAAAGCTGTTACAAGTGAAATTTTTTAAAAGTTTATTTGAATAGTCCGTTGCTCATATCCAAATAAAACATATTTCTGGGCATTGATCTTACATCTGCCACACTGCCAAATTCAGCAATGGCTTTTGTACATGTATTCTTTGATAGTTTCTTTCTATACATAGGACCAGATAATCTGTGAATAAGAACTGTTTTATTTCCTCCTTTCCATTTTAGATGCTTTTTCGTTTGTTTTCTTTTTCTTTTGCCCCATTGCTCTGCCTGGGATGTCTAGAACAGTGTCACCTCGGGGAGATGAGAATCAGCAGATCGCGTTCCTGATCCTGAGAGCTGCTTTGGAGGTTCTGGAAGGAGAGTGCGGCACTGCATATCCTTGCCCACAGCAAAGCTCTTCCGTTTAGGGAAGGCCATGCTCTTAGTGCATGGCTTCAGGAGGAACAGGCGTGGGATAGTGAGGGAGAAACAACACTCCGTCCATCCAGCCAGATCAGCCGAATCACGCCTGGTGATCAATGATGATCAATAAATTGTGACCACAGATGTCGTAGGCAGACCACCCTCCCATCTCCATCTAATGCTCGTTCAGGGCAGCGTCTTAAGTATTTTCACATCGAGTACCATGCTAACTACGGTGTTGGGGATACTATTTTAAGGTGTGTTGCTTTTGTTTACGCTGCATTTGTTTAACTCTGTGAAGCTGTGTTCCTGTTCCTGTCCAAAACACCTAATGGTCTAGCGAGGCAGGAGAGAGAAACAGGTGGGGTTGGCAGGCAGAGAGGATAAATATGAAGATAATCTGGGGGAAAGGATCTGGGAACAGGAAGGAGAACTTCAGGGGCCAGTCACCCAGCCACATAGCCAGACATGGAGTAAGAGGGAAAGAAAAGGTATTCAGGAATAGAGAAAGGTGAAAGTCCCAAGGCCAAAGATAGATGAGATAATTTAAGTTAAGAAAAGCTGGCAAGAAACAAGTTCAGCTAAGGCCGGACATTTAACTAAGAATAAGCCTCCATGTGTGATTATTTGGGAGCTGGATGGTGGGTCCCTCAAAAAACCAAAAGCCAAAAAAGCCCAAAGAGTAAAATGTCACACAGCACCGCGGGTTGTTCGCAACTGCTCTTTACTGTGTTGAGGGGGTCAACTTTTTATTTCTACTTTGTTGAGGATTTTTCATCATGAAAACCGTTATATTTTCTAAAATCCCGAGACCAAAGAATAAGATACTTGAGACCAGTTTCAGAGCTGCTGGCGTAGAGTAGGGACTAATGAGAAACAGGTTTGGAAACTCAAACTTGGGTTTGAGTTGCAGCTGGGTCAGTTTGCTAAGTGGTACATGACCAACTTCATCTTTCCATCCCCCATTCTCCTTATTACAAAACACTAGCAACTGCTCAAAAGGGAGTCAATTTAAATACTAATTGCTGATTTCTTTTCCTTTTGGCTTTGTTTGTTTGTTTGTTTTAAACATTCTTGCTATGTATCCTAGGATAGCTTTGAACCCTTGACCCTTCTGTGGCAACTTCCTTAGCATCACAGGCTCAGGTTCTCACCAGTAATGTCTGTGCTACAAATTTCCCAAGGTCTACTCTGCATGGACTTAATAATTTGACTTTGCCTTGGTTTAATTCACGGTGCCTCATTCCCTCCCCCCGCCCCCAAATTCCCATTTCTGCATTTGCTGCTGTTCAAAATCTTTCATTGTCTTTGCTCCCTTTCTGTCTTTAATCTACTATTATTATTTGGTTGCACAATTCTTGTTAGATGTACCGGACTATTTTTGATGGGATCAAACATAAGGCAGATAGCTAAACATTAGCCCAACTTCCATCATGTCAAGATTTTCATGATAATAAAAATAACCTGAGGGCTGCAGGGCGTTGGACACTTCTCTGCCCCACGTGTTCTGAGCACAGTTGCTGTGATCGTGCTATGGGGATTTAAATATGACCTTCCACGAAAAACATGTCCTGGCCAGAAACGAAATACAAAGCAGCAGGCTGGGTTTCAGAGTCTGCTTCTCGAGCATCTGCTGCCTCTTGGGTTACAGGGAAGTAAATATAGACACTGATTTATGTGAACACGGTTCATTTAGCTCTGCCTGTCTCTGCTTATTCCCCAACCCTCGGAAAGCAGATAATCCTACTGTCAGCAGTTGCTTGACTCTTTCTGCCAGCTGCAGAAATCCTCCTTCTTTTCGAGACGAGTTTTCCTATCTGTGCACTTGGATTCATCCTGTCATCCAGAACTACTGTGTGTTCTCCCTCCGGTGAGGTTACTGTTCCCATGCCTTGGCTCCTTCTCCAGACATATGTAAACGTACGGCTAGTCCCCATTGTGAAGTTTCTTCCACCCTGTCTCAGCCTCCGTTGCCTCTTCTTCTTGCCAAAGCACCCTCATCTCCTCACGCTCCATAAGCAGTGTTGTCTGGTTCGGTCCCCACTTCCACAAGTCTCTCTAATGCCGCTGCTGGCTGGTGATTAACTGTCAGTCCCACTGGGTCTTCGTCTTCTGTGGGACTTGAACTCCTGGGGATTGATGTTGACATACACACTCCGGAACCTCCTTTGCCTGGGTTTTGTAGCCCAAGTCTCACCATTTTTTCACAGCATCTTTAAGTTTTGGACCATCTCAGTTCCCAAAGAGTTTCTTCATATCTCAGCCATACCTACAGTTCAGCTAATACAGACGACTTCACAGCTCTCTCTCTTTCCAGCCCTGGCTGTTCTTTGCATAGGTCTTGTTTTGGATGTCCACACTTCTACTAGAAATGTCCTATCGATGTCTCACACCTCAAACCAAGCTTACCACATCTCTTTGCCTCAAACTTTCTTATAAAGTCAATTGCTACTACCTTAAAAAAAATTCAGAGTCAAGGACCCTGTTTTCCTTGGGGTTTCTATTGCTGTGATAAACCCCATAACCAAACCAACTTGGAGAGGAAAGGGTTTATTTCACCTTATGACCCTCAAGTCACACTCAGTCACTGAAGCAAGCCAGGGCAGGAAGCTGGAGGCAGGAACTGAAGCAGAAGCCATGCAGGCTTTTGTTGCATGCTTTTATTGCATGCTGTTTTATTGGTGTGCTCACTCATGGCTTTCCCCGCCTACTTTCTTATACCATCCAGGACCAACTAGCCAGGAGTGACATCACCCACAGTGTCCTCCCACATCAATTCTTAATCAACAAAGAAACGCCATATAGACTTGCCTCCAGGCATCTGATGGAGGTGGTTTCTCAACCAAGAGGCCTCCTCCCAGATATGTCTAGATTTGTGTCGGTTAACAAAACTCAGCTGGCACATGCCATCAAGATGACTCAGTAGGTAAAGGGTAATTTGTCCCCAAGCCTGATGACCTGAATTTGATCCCCCAGAACCTATATGCTGGAAAGAGAGAGCACAAACTCTGACGGTGTCCTCTGACCTTTGCCTCCATGCTGGAGCCCAGGTACCCGCACAGACACACCAGACGGTAAATAAATGTAAACAAATGTAAGAAGTTCTGCCCCTATTCTAGTTGGGAAGTGGAGAGAAAGTCACACCATCTGGCTTTTGCCCGTGGTCTCAACAGTTACTTACAGCAGAATACAACAAACCTCTAGAACGGGTGTCGGCCATGGTGTTTACCGACGTGGTCACGTGACTCCATTCCTGGCTCAGGAAATGGCACCACAGAGCAGTCAGCCACCGCCATAGCAGAAAGCCTCCAAGCCCTGGTGCTATGCTGCCCTGCTCCGTCTAGATGACCCCGGGTAAGGGTTTCAATCTTCCAGGCTTCGACTTCTTCACCTGTCTAATAGACATGATCACATTGTTGTTTACTTGGGATAACAAAGGGATCGATTGTTCAGACTCACAACTCCCAGAGATCTTACCCAACACTGGCTTTACTGCTAATTAAAAAAAAACCACAGAAGACATTGAGTCTCACGCAGGTGTACTGCCATCTGGGACCAGCAGCGGAGGGCTGGCCTCTCCCACGGTAGGATGTACAGTGGCTCGTAAGGAACATACCAGATTATTAAGAGGTGCATGCAGGACACAGCTTACACCAAGCTGAGTTAAGAAACACCCTTATGAGATATCATCTTACACCTGTCAGAATGGCTAAAATAAAAAGCACCAATGATAGCCTTTGCTGGAGAGGTTGTGGAGAAAGGGGTACCCTCATCCATTGCTGGTGGGAATGCAAACTTGTGCAACCACTTTGGAAAGCAGTGTGGCGGTTTCTCAGGAAATTCGGGATCAACCTACCCCTGGACCCAGCAATGCCACTCTTGGGAATATACCCAAGAGATGCCC